AAAATCCACTGAAGTTCCTTCCTGAATTTCAACCGCCATCCTGTAGAAACTTCCAAACAAAAAGATTTCTTTCAACAATGCTATGCAAATAGCTAGAAAAATTGGAGCGCTAAAGGAAACAAGGCCAACTCGAACCAGCCCAATAGAAAAGGCATTGGAGAAGGTGGCTACACTCAAAAGAGTCATCTAAATTAGAAACCGCAAGCTTAGCAGTAGAATTAATAGAACCTTCCACCTAACTCCTCGTATCGGGACTAAATCTGAGCCCATTCATCGCAAGAACCAATGGGAAAGCCCTCAAACAACTAGCAGAAGTCATGGAAACGGTAAACAGGTAACAGCCCTTCGCCTCCCAATTTGCAGCAGCAAGCTCTCCACAAACATCTACTTTTCCCAAAGATCTCAAATAAATATAATTCATCACCAACCACTCCAATAAACTAAGCATTAGTTTGTTGTCGATTGAAGCGAGAGGCTAGGGTTTCTGACATGAGAGAGGCAGGACGAGACAGATGGGAGTTCGGATATCTTCGTATGTCGTGATTTTTTGTTACCTTCCCATGCATTCTAGTCGTGACTAGAGCTGAAAACGAGCCGAGCTTGAGCGATCTCAGGCGTAGCTCGTGTTCGGCTAGTTCGAAATTACTCGTGTTCGAAACCGGTTTGTAAACAGTGTGTTCGTGTTCGGCTTGAAATTGGTTTGTTAAAATTAATTGAAAAAAATAGATGTATGGTGTTGGATTCAAACATGCACCAACTTTGTGCGGTAGAATGCGCAGAACTACATAACTTTTTTTTAAGCTAAAATGAGCTGAACATGAGCGACCAAATGGGTTGTTCGTGTTCGACTCGTTTATAATTCAAGTTTAAAAAAATTATTCATGATCGGCTCGAACACGAGCTACTTAATGAGTCAAACACGAACAGTTTGTGAACGAGTTTTTTTGGCAGCCCTAGTAGTGGCTATAGCAAGAAGGCCGACAAAAACCTCGGTGAGGCAGCTGAGAAAGGCAAGGGTTTCGAAGGTCTTTGTATGTCATGATTTCATCAAGCATTCACGAGCGCAAAAGGAGAGGGTCGGGAATTTCATAGGTATTTGTACGTTGTACTCCCCTCGTTGCTTTTATCTAGCACGAGAGAAAGACTAAGATAAGTACTATGCAAGGCGAAGGAGAGCAAATACGGGTTACCGCAGGGAGCCAAGGATGACGAGCGTCGAGCGGGGCTTCCTCTTGTGCTATTTGCCATGACCAAGGGGAGAAGGAGAAAAAAAGGAGTGCAGGCTGTGGGTCTTAAGGAACCGCCCATGAGGAGTGCTAATTGCTAACCAGAGGTCATGAGGGTAGGTTAATATATATAGATTGCTTTTCCTATGTTTTCATTGGTTAGGAGGGGCAGTGCAGGCAAAGATGAGTAGGTTGTTGGTGTGATATAATTCAAATTATACTTTAAAAGTTTTAACTCATATAGATTTCATATTATGAATAATCTTTTTATGATATTATTATTATTATAATTATCATGTAATTTTTTCATATATATAAAATGTTAGGGGGTGAAGGCATGCAATTAAAGTTCAATTTTTATTCTTTAAACTATTTATTCTTCAAAAATCCAAATCGCATAACACATAAATAGAGGGAATATTTAAGGTAGAAATTTTTTTGTGAAAATTAATTAAAAATATATATTTTTATTTAAAGAAAATATTTTACAAGTGGGTCCTCAGCCGAGACAAACTCCCGTCGAACTAACATCTCATACAGCACACGCCCTCCAAACCTCAACCTATCTACACTGTCGAATTAGGCTTGGACCTGCAAGACCAAATAGGTCGACCGAATGTTGGCCATGTCTATTCAAAAGGGGGTTGTCAACTCTGTCGAGACCTCAGGCTCGCAAGCTCCTTCCTAAGTGCTTACACCTCCGCATCTACCGCCTCCTCCCTGCTCAACGTCCGAACAAAGATCCCCTCAGCTGCACCAGAAGTTAGAACTCAAGCGACAAATGGTAGTGGTGAATCAACGCTCGAGACCATGTTGCCTGCATCAACGAGCGAGGGTTAGTCAAAGAAAAACTTACAATCACAGCAGATCATCGTCACATACCCAAGGCTCGATAAAACTTGGACCACCAGGACAAGGGACAACTCTCACCACGCATTGGTGGGGCTCCCGAAGCCGCTTGACCAAAATTTAGTTCCAGAATAGTAGGTCCCTTGTCTTGCAGAGCACCTACCGTTTTATCCCCCAAGGCCTGGTTTCAGAACCGCAGACCTCTGGTCAAGGGTCAAGAGGCTCCGACTGTTCCTTGTGTAGGCTGCACAGTCAATTAAGTGCTCGTTGCAGCAAAAGCATGGGTCGGCACACCAACAAGTTGGCCTCCTTCATTTTGTCGAAGACGGGTCAGCAGATCGAACGATGCAACCTCAACTGCAAGGTCGGCACACCAGCTTCTTATAAGCAAGTTGCTTAACTTGCATCATACCATCAGGTAGACCTTCCGCCGACCTCATCGTAATCCCAGGTTTTTTCGCACCCTCAGGTTGCCTCCCTTCTCCCAGTTTCTTTGTTCTAGTCTTCTCACCTTCAGGACGGCTGCCTCCCTCCGGTCTTTTCTTCCTCTCAAGCTCCTCCCGACAAGCACGCAACGCAATGTCACCAAGGCTTTCTCTAGTATTTCCTCGATGATACAATCAGTCGAGGTTTTCTTGCCGCTTTCTATGGAGATCCTCTAGAAACCGAGCAAATGAACAACGTTCTCTTAAACAATGATGATAACGAAAGCGTCAATCGTGTCCCAATTATAGAAGGCCATGGGTACGAAAATTTAGAGAGCTTAAGTACGAAATATGAAACTAAATAAATATGATTCTTGCATTAAATTCTCTTGTTCTTATCGCAGAATGACTTTCAAGAAGCAAAAGAATCAAAAAAATAAATATGTGACTCATAAATGCGTTGACACGAATCTCAAGAAAATTCTACGGATTACAACACAAAAGTACAATCAAGCATGGGCCATATAAAGGAGTTGGGACCACATCAGCAGAAGATCAAAGGATCTCATTGACCAGCCACAACTCCCTCAAAACAAGATTCGAGCCGACCAAACGAAGGTTTCCAAGTCAAAGATCGTGACCAATCTAATTGAGGGAAGAGCCTGCAAGACTATTCAGACTAGTTCAACTCTCGTACAAATATCACCAAATGCCTGCAAGAGCCTCCAAGGCTATTCAGAAGGCCCTAAGATTTCATCACCAAACATTCATCGAGCCTTCCAAATGAATCTCTTGTCAAAAGAGATGGGTATGTTATCTATCACATTACAGTGATTCACTCTCTACCCGACAGCCTAGTTCTACCCCAATAACATGAGTTTTTCATCCAAGGTTCAATAGTCGCAAAGCCAAACCAAGACAATCGACCGACTCAAGCCGATCGAGTGAAGTTCGAGCAACAGAACAAAGTTTGGCCGACTGAAGAACTGCTAGGGCCGACTGATTGTCCCAAGTCGACAAAGTTGGCCAAATGTACTTGGCCGACCGCAGGATTATAGGTCCTCACAGACCGAACGATAGGGCAACCTAACGATAGGCTCTTTTATTTTCTATATGTTTAAAATATTGGGTATCACCCCCATATAAGTAGGGGCAACTAAGTAATTTTTTACTTTGTACCCCATTGCTTATAAATAAAGGGGTAATTTCAATAGCAAAGGGTTAATCAGGGATCTTTAAAAGAACCAAATTCTTATTGCTCTCTCTCTCTCTCTCTCTCTCTCTCTCTTACGTTCTACTGTTTTACGCTCTATTCTTTGGGTGTGATTCACAGGACAAATTTGATTTCAACATAAATCAAATGCACAAAACATAAAGAAATATTTAGAAGAAAGAACAAGAAAAGAAATCACCAATTGGAAGATTCATGTCTCATGCTGATACAAAGAGAATAATCCCCATTAAGCAAGACCCCCAATACAGCAATAACACACAGGTTTCCAAGGAAATCTGGACTTTTTAAGCAACTGCTTCGCTTTACAAGCCTAGACACTGCTTATAATCAAAATTAGACATATTTTATAGTATTGCTGAATCTGGAATAGAAAATCAATACAGTAGTAAACATCCAATTCTCCAATAGTCAAAAATAGAAATTTCTTATATTTTGCTACAGTGCTACATGAGGTTAAGCATGTTCTGCTACGGGACATAATCGTATATAAATGGAAAATAAGGGATTTGATCTTTAATTATGGTGCAGAGACGGGAGCAGCAAGAAGATAGAGAACATATGCATAAAAGGAAAAGTAATGCTCTCACAAATCAAAATCAGAGTCGATGAAAATACAAAAGCACAGAGGAAGTTGAGTTATAGTAACAAAACGGGAATAGCAGGAAATAAAGAAACTGAATCTTCTCAAACCAGCAATGAATGCAGAAAGCAGTCTCAAAATACAGAATGACTGTAGAAACTTTCCCAAATAGAAAAATGAAGAGATACGGGATCATCAAAATCAGACTTGCAAAAGCAAACGAAGGAACACATTTGGACAACAGTAGATCAACTTAGGAAGCTAAAATGAGTTAACAACAAAATAAGAAGAAGAAATTGATGGTGAACCCGCTGCCGAACCAAAAGAAAGCCAACAATGAATCAAAAGTTGACCAAACAAAAACATGATTTGAATTTTGCTTGATTATGATTATTTCAGATTTACATTAAATAAATTTCAAAAATAAATCATTAACGGAAATAATCAGGATTATGGCGTATTAATAATTCAGCAAAAGTTTGCAATTGTTTTGTACCTAATTCTCACACTTAGAATTAACAACTAAAAAGCATTAGTTTCTTTTTACTTGGTTGAAACAATAATAATGAAAAAAAAATAAAGAAAATGAGCAACTCACAGAACTAACTGGCAAGCCATTTAAAGAAAACTAGTATAAAAGAGATTATATTTTAATCCAAACGTAAATTTGAAGAATAGATCCGTACCTGCCATTCATACCAACAATCATTACGGTGTTTTCAGAACCAAATGCAACAAAATATCGAGTAACTTCTGGCACGCGAAATTGAGCAAAGGACCACTCAGAACTGAAATACTTGGGTAAAACTCCTGCGAATTTACAGCCTCAGAAAGACACGTAGGAAATTTTATGAAACAACTACTTTGCAGTGCTAATGAACAACATGAAACTGGCATAACGTGCAGAGTAACACTTCTGATATAATTAAAACAGTTAGATGATTTCAAAAAGTTTTGAAGTCAATTATCTGACAACCACCAATTTAGAAAGATTTATTTTAACTTTCAGAATTCATCAGTTATCCCTTTGAAGATTACATAATACTTGCTATAGAATAATTAAACGCAAACAAATTATCAAGACACATAAAAGTAATGAATTTAGTTTCATGTCTTATATGCAAAAAAATGTCATAGTTGAAGAACTAAGTGTCTAACCCTCATCCATAGACAAACTTCACGGGTTTAAATGAAACTTGACCACTAAGCTATCCAACCCAACTTTCGATCCCCTTTTAGTCCGCACACTCTAACAGCTTGCATCAGAGTTGATGATACAGTCGAAATCAAATGATCTATACAATTTATGATTTCGACGAACCTTAGTTTTTCAACCAGGGTGAGTGACTTTTATAGAGCTCCTCTTGAAGTCCTCATAGTTCTTAAATAATTAAGGACTCTTTGAAAACTAATTTTATGGTGATAATAATAATTAACAAAATGGTGTCTGGTGAATAATTGAACAATACAAAAAATTTAATTATAATTCTATTAAATTTTAATTATTTACAAATTAATAAATATAATTAATATACAGCTAATTCATCTGCTATTACACTGATTATATAATATTATTATTTTCTTAATTATATCAATTTATATAAGCAAAAAAAATATAATTTAAATCCATTAATCCACAATGTAAGTCTATTTTTTAGTGATTTTCTTATTAAATTAAACTTAACTCAAACCAAACATCCTACAAATTTTTTGCCAAATCTCATATTCATTTAAAGCATGAATCATGAAGTAAACTGATAAAAAATTTACCAAAATTTAGCAATACGTAAAACCTATCCTGTCAACATATTTTTGATTTAATATTCATTTCATAAATCCTAATCATGGCCAAACTGCCTCCAAAGATGAACTATATGAATAGTATATAAATAGTAGTTGATATCTTCTGAACTAACTAATACACCAAGTACTTAAATGAGGATCATGACTTATGATTTATAGCATATATTAAAAAATTTCTTGCTACTTACCTTAATAATGTTCTAATCAATAGCAAAGTATGAGATAATTATCTGATGCATCTTACAAAAGTATTTAAAGGATGTTTGGGTTTGTTGAAAAGGAACGCAATGTAAAAAAATGCAATGAAAAATAAAGTGTTAATAAATAAATATTGTTCTTCACATGAATATACTAGAAATGCATGAATTTTTATTTGCGTTTTAGTGCATGCATTATAAATGCAGTGTGAAACTTTTGAGCAACATGCCACACTCCGCCATCTTCAAGAATAGTTGACAAGTTAACCATGGGAAGGAAGATTCTAGAGAAGACCAGAATGAAGAGAGCAATCCAAAGGAAGATTATAAATGCAGTGTCAAAACCAAAGAGTTTTGAAAGTGCTCCCAACGCGAAGGAAGTGAACAATTTCTTATGGTGACTTGAACAATATCTCGGAGGGATGGAGATTACGGATGAAGAAGCAAGAATATAATTTGTAACTATTTATCTCTCATACATCGGTATGTTGTGATGGAGAAGAAGAAGAAGAGATATAGAGAAAATGTATGTGCATCATATTCACCTTTGATGACTTTAAGAAAGAGTTGAAGAGACAATTTTATGCCGAGAATGCAGAGGATAAGGCCGGAGCCCGATTGCGAAGGCTCAAGCAAATGGAATCGATTTGAGAATATATTAAGGAATTTACTAGAATGATCCTTGAAATTCTCGACGTGACAGACAATGATGCTCTTTTCAACTTCCGGATGGACTCCAACAGTAGGCGAAGTATGAGCTTAGGAGGCGTGGAGTGCAAGATCTTATACTGTCATTGCGTCCGTCGAAAGCCTGATTGACTATGCAAAGGAGTCTACAAAGCCAAGGAATGAGAAGAGCACCAATGTCAAAGATGATAGAAATAAGGGATAACACAAGAAAGAAACTACAAAAAGTATCATCTTCATCCAAGGGTAAAGATAAAGGAACGCAAAAGGATAATAAAATCAAGTCACATAACAATTGCTTTCTTTGTGATGGACCACATTGGGCAAGGAATTGTCCTCGAAAGAAGGCTCTAAACTCTCTCCTTGCAAGTCATCAAGAGGAAGGTGGTGATAGGTGGCACAAGTAGGGTCTATACAACTGTTGAATGGGATGCAAACTCTGACAAAACTCCAAGCAAAGGGGCTACTCTTTTTGAAGATGGTAATAAGCGGGAAAACCACTAGAACAATGGTGTACACAGGTGCTTTTCACAACTTCATCTCCACCGAAGAAGCAAAAAGGTCGGGTTTGCGGATGACTAAAGGAAGAGGCTCCATCAAGGTAGTCAATTGAGCAGTAAGGTCAATACATGAAATTGTCAGAGGAGTAAAGACCAGTATTGGAGCATGGTTAGGTTTCTTAGACATCATTGTCATTCCAATAGATGATTTTAAAGTTATTCTAGGGAAAAACTTCTTATATCAAGTAAGAGCATTCTCAAAACCCTTCACCAATAGCATGTGCATCATTGAAGGGAATTAAGCTTTCTTAGTACCGCAACAAGGACTAATAAGCAAGAAGTCAAAATATTATCGGTCATCCAATTCAAGGAGGACATTCAACGAGATGACGAGAGCTACTTGGCTATCCTTCACGACTCAAATGATGAATTGAAGCCCGAAAAATACCACCAAAATTACCAAAAGAACTATCACCAAATAGAAAGATAGATCAGCAGACCGAGCTGGAATCAAGGATAGAGCCGCTAGCTATGAAACCTTGTTGCATGGTACCCCTTTCCCCTACAACCAGGTTCGAGAGAGAAAGCCCAACCTTCTTCAAATTCGCCAAATCCTGGAATGAGCAAAGGGAGTTAGCTCGAGCCACATTACATAAGGTTGTAAGATAAATGAAGAAGTGGGCAAACTAGAAAATGAGACATAAAGACACATGGAAAAAGAAAAAACTGATGGTATCAAGTGGAAGCCGCAATGAAGGCATTGCAACCTTAAGTGAGGGAGAATTTCACGCTCCGATATCTTCAATAATAATTGACAAGCTAACCATGGGAAGGAAAATTCTAGAGAAGACCAGAATGAAGAGAGTAATCCAAAGAACTCTAAAATATTCCACGACATTCTAGAAAAAAACTAGAAAGAATGAAAATATTTCAAGAAATTTTGGAAGGTTCCATATAATTCCATAAATATGTTGAAAGAAGCAAACTTCAAGAGAATTATAGAATATTCTGGAAAGTCCTTGAATCATTTATATGTAAAGAATAATGCAGAACTATCTAGAAATTAGTATATTCTAATGTGATCTAGAAAGTTCTCTTAGCCTTGGATAGTACTATAAATAGAAGTTCCTCCACTTCATTTGTATCCATCCAATAACCATCCAAGGTTCTCAAGCATTCAAGTGTTGTAATCATTCCTTCATAGTGAAGTGTTTCTTTTTCTAATATATTTCCCTACTCTTCTTCCTAGATTATTTTGTGCTTACAAGTATAAGCATCGTGAGGGTTAGACGTGAGGGTTAGACTGATTTAGTGGCCAAGGAAGAGCGCTAAAGCCGCACGGGTGACTTGAGATAAGTAATCCATGACAAACAGCATGACCGACAAAAATCAATGGTAAATGGGCAGGCGATAATCGGTTGCGGCTGCAAATAGGACAATAGGCTAGTGGTGGCCGATGGAAGGGGCCAATAGCCAACAGTGCGGGACAGCAAAGAACGATGAGGCCAACCAGAGGTGGTTGACAACATAAGCCAACGACAATAACGGTAAGAGGCCATGGCCGGCAATGGTAGTCGAAAGGGGAGGTGACTGCCAACTACGTGGCAACGGCTACAGTTTCAATGGTTTCACCAACTATTGCAACTTAAGATGTTAAATTTAAAATTCATTGTGCAATTTTACACAGCACTTCTAAAATAAAAACCCAAATGTTTAAAACCCCTACATTTTGAATGCAATGCCCTCCTTTTGTAGCAAACCAAAGACACCCTTGATATTTTATAAGGTAAAAAAGTAATATCTAAATTTAAAGATAGTTTATTTTGTGACTCCATATATAACTTCCTAGGTTTTGTTGCATCAAAAAATAAATTAGTTGCCAATTTCAAATGATTAAAGGAAATAATAATTGAAATAGCATATATGATATTCAAAGTTTTCATGTATTAGCTGATTTTTATAGATAATTTATTTTAAAATTTAGTGAAGTTATGCTTAAATTAGAAATTTTTAAAAGGAGCGAAGCGATAGACTAAATTATCTGAATTTAAATCAAAGAGAATTGCAAATGTACATGTATTTAAACTATCTGAGTTTATTAAGATATTTTAGGTTTCTTGTGATGTGTCAAGGGTAGATATAAGAAGAATGTTAAGCAAATAAGAATATTTTATTGCATTTTTTAGTGAAGAACAAATGAGGATAAATTGAAATATTTGTGAAGTGAGACATAGGTTATAAAGGGGGACGGGATCGTGAACCTCGCAAACCAGGATTTTGGTTCACTTGGCCTGTCATGTCAACTACAACCACCTAGGGCTATGAGCCGACCCCCCACCTTCTTTTCCTTGATTTAGTACTAGTATTAAGTCAATTGCATGGAAAACAACATATGTGTTGGTTTCAAATGTTTGGACAGTTTTTAGAATTTTTGCTTATGCTAGCTGAGATTTCTACTAAAATTTTCTCATTTTGTAGTGTTGTAGCCTTCCTCTTTTCAAGTGATGTACCTGTAAGTTCACTGAAAAAGAGATGATGATCTCTGCTGGACATTTGACAGCCTCCTACGCCATGAGTTTTAACATCGACCAATGGTTTTGCTTTTCCAACTTGTTGTCCATCA